GATGTGCTGTCGCCCAGATACCGACATCTGGCCAGGCAATCTCATCTACCCACCCCGGTGCTGCGTCGCAGCTTCCTGCACCAGTTACGGTACTTTGGCCCGGAGTTCTTCCTCTCCCTGCTAGGGCACTCCCTCCGCCTCCTCCACCCCCGACCCCGCGCACCCAGCAAGTGGCTACCCTACAAGCCACTGTGGCGCAGCTCCAGGCGGAGATTTTTTCCCTTAGACAGCCTCACACTCCACAGGCTGTGCACCCTTCTTCTTCTTACACCGTCCCTCCCATCACTGTCTTGCCGGCTCGCTTCCCTCAACCGGCTCCCCCCCCTCTACCCTCCTACCTTGCTACGCCGTCACAGTCGGTTTCGGCCGTTACCTCCACGCCCGCTGGACCTTCCACCAGCGGCCCCGGCTCACCGCCAGCCCCCACTTCAACCTCTGCACCAGCTCCGACATTCTCCGCCATAGTGCAGACCCACCAGCCCCTCTCCCCTCGCCGCCACCACAGCAGTCGCACCCTTATGCGTGGGTCGGACATACCCGACTACGATGGTACGATGCGTGTATCGCACTGGTTACAGGCTGCCACACGCGCGCTGACATTGACTAAGACTAGTCAGGATTTGTGGTGTTCTGCCCTCGCAACTAAATTGCGAGGCAGTGGATTCTCCGCTTGGGAGAACTATTATACCCATTGTACTCGTGGAGGTGAGGCGCCCACTCTCGCGGATTTCACCGCGTTCCTCCACGACTGCTACGGCACCCTCCACGATGCGACTGACGCCCTAGACCGGGTCACCCAGACGCAGTGGCGCGAGTCCTCCACACCCTCCGATCTTGAGCGTCACATCAGAGTGTTCCGGGACGCCCGCCTCATTTGCGATGAGGCACTCCTACCTGAGGCAACAGGTTCGTAGTCAGTCTCTCGACTGACTACCATATCGAGCTCTGGCGACAGAGCTTCGCCTCCGCCGAGCAAGCCTACGAGGCTGCTCGACAGTACCAGAAGATGCGGAATCGCTTTTCCGACACCCCATCTTCTTCGCGATCCACCGCTGCCGCCACCCAGTCACGTGGTGCTACTCGCGGTCGATCCTCCTTCGCTGGCCGGTTTCGTCGACCAGCCCACCCTGGAGCATCATTCTCTCGGCGCTACAGTTCTCTGGAGTACGGCGAGGACTCCTCGGCCGAGTTTGACCCTACCCTTGGGGACGCTCCCGAGGACATCGACCTACGAGACGTCATCCAGTATCACTTGGATGACGACACTGTTCCGGTGGTCAAGCGCTTGCTGATGGCCATGTCTGCCATGGGTCGTGCTCGTAGTCGGGTTGCACAGGCTGGCGCCCGCACACCCACGGTTCCTCAGATAGACCTTCCACAGGGTTATGTCCCTCCTCGCGGAGCTCTATCCGCTGAGGAGCGTGCCGCCCTCGAGGCCCGACGCGGCTGCCTTCGTTGCCGCCTAGATGGACACACCTCCTCACGGTGTCCATACCATACCGCCCTCGATCGGCACTACGCTGACATCTCTCGTCAGCGTCGATCTCAGTCCCCCCCCRGCCCCGCCCGGCCARCCCCATCYACCTAGCCACGRTGCACKGTGCCCCTGAGGCCTCGCACGTAGCYGRCTTCCYGACCACCGAGTCGCGGTTTGCCCCTTTGGCTACCCCACCAGAGGACCCTCAGGACACGACAGACGCAGTTCTCTCCACCCCATCGTCTGTCGAGGTACCGTCTGCCTCCTAGCAGACCGCCGCATCTAGCGCTTCTCCCCCTAGACTTCCGACGGGTCGCGCCATTCGCACAACCCGTTGTAGTGCTCAGCTGGCGACTCGTGATGACGTTGTGTCAGCTCTCTTGGACTTGAGCATTCTGCAGGCTCGTTAGGAGCGCCTCACGAGACACATCAACGTCCTGCGTCGTCTCACGAGACACATCAACGTCCTGCGTCGTCTTCTCGCCTTGCTCTCTGACCCTGATCGCACCCTACCCATTATCCCTATTCGCCTAGGGACATCTACGAGGGTGTACCGCGCTTTATGAGACTCTGGCTCGCAGGGAGATTTCGTTCACCCTCGCGTGGTTGAGAAAGCTCGCCTAGCTACCTCTGGGTCCCGCTCTCCTATCTCCGTTACCCTCGGAGATAAAAAGACGCAGCGCTTCTTCAATCAGACGGTCCCCGACCTCCACTTCTCCCTCACCCTCCAGCCATCGGATAGTCCCCAGATGCCTAGGCGCTACCATTCCTCCGCATACTTCGACGTACTTGAAACTGGGTACGACTTTATCCTTGGCACTCCCTGGTCTCGCCGGTTCCATGGCACAGAGGCCGAATGGGCGACCGAGACACTCGTTCTCAAAACGAAGTGTGGTCAGACTCATCGCATCCCGTTCATTGGAACCACGGGCGACACCCCACCCGACCTACCTCCCCAGGGCCCTCATCCCTCAGGGTCCCGCCCCAACATCGCGTTCACTTCCCCTCATCAGTTTGCTCACTTCATACGACAGGAAGACGTCACGTTTTACTCAGTAAACGTCATGGATCTTCTTCGCTACGATCCACCCTGTCCCGAGGTTGAGCTCATGTCTCTTGAGCCCGATCCCCCTGACCCTCCTTCCATCTTCGCGGCTCCCATCTCTACATCCACTCGTCAGCCTGCGGATACCTCCTCCACGTCTCAGGCCCCTGCGCCGTCGACTGTCGAGTCCACACATACGTCTCGTGCTGACGCAAACGCTGAGGAACTCACACGGTTCACGGCAGACTTAGAGCCTGCCGTTCGTGACCTGATTCGAGAGTACTACGACGTCTTCCCCCCCTATTTCTCATACAGTGGGATTCCCCCGATTCGCGGTGTCGAGCATTCCATCCAACTCGTGCCTGACTATCGTGTTCACCATCAGGCACCATACCGACTCTCGATTCCAGAGGCAACGGAACTCAAGCGTCAGCTTGAGGAGCTCCTTCGATTGGGTTTCATTAAACCCAGTAACTCCCCTTGGGGTGCACTTGTCCTTTTTGCTCGCAAAGCGCACGGAACTCTCCGTCTCTGCATCGACTACCGCGGCCTTAACTGTTACACGGTTAACAATAACTATCCCATGCCCCGTGCGGATGAGCTGTTTGACCGTTTGGCAGGCAACCGCTTCTTCACGAAGATTGATCTTCGTAGCGGTTACTACAAGATCCGCGTTGCCACAGAGGATCAGCCGAAGACCGGATTCCGATCGCGCTTCGGCCACTACGAGTTCACGGTGATGCCATTCGGCCTCACCAATGCACCCGCCACCTTCCAGATGGCGATGAACGACATCTTCAGGGACATCCTTGAAGAATAGGTTCTCGTATACCTGGACGACATCTTGGTCTACAGTCGTACCTTAGAAGACCATCTCAGACACCTCCGCGATGTCCTACAGCGCTTACGCAAGCATGGCTTCTATGCCAAGCTCAGTAAGTACCGCTTTGCCCAGCGCAAAGTGGACTTCTTAGGACACCATGTGTCTGACCAGGTTCTCCACATGGACGACGCGAAGATCACTGCTATTGCAGAGTGGCCCGTCCCCACATCTGCCAAGCAGCTTCGCAGCTTCCTAAGCCTCACCAGCTACTATAGTAATTTTATCCAGGGATACGCTAGGTATTCCTACGTCCTTACCTCTACCCTCCTCTGGAAGAACCCGCCGTGGTTTTGGACACCCCTATGCGAGGACGCCTTTCGCGCCCTCAAGAAGGCGGTGACCTGTGCGTCGGTTCTTCGCCTTCCCGATTTTGATCGTCTCCTTATCGTCACCACCGATGCGTCAGACTTTGCAGTAGGAGTTGTCCTTTCTCAGGTGTTTCCCTCTCCTCCAGATTCACCTTACCCCCATGTCCCTCCTTTCCCCCCCCCTCCTGYYGAWACTGCTTCTCGACTGAYGCCTACCCTCCCACCACTTCCCTCCACTGACAGTCCTCCTGTTACTTACTCCCCGACCATCGCGGAGGATGGGACTGTCGAGGCTCGTGCTGGGGATTGCCCGATCGCTTTCTACTCCCGTCAGCTACTGCCTACCGAGATAAACTACACTGCCGATGAATGTGAGGTTCTCGCAGTAGTTTATGTTACCCGGCATTGGCGTCATTATTTGCACGGGGCGCCGTTCACGGTGCGCACGGACAACTCAGTTGTCCAGGCTTTCCTCACGAAGCTTAAGCTTTCCCCTCGACAGGGACGCTGGTGGCGTGACTTATCCGAGTTCAGTTTCACCACTCACCCCATCAAGGGTGAAACGAACCGCGTCGCCGACGTCTTGTCCCGCCGTCCTGATCACAATGAGGAACCCATCCATCTTGCTGCCATCTCCATCACCACTGTTCATCAGTCGGTGATCGACGCGTATCGCACTCAGTACCGCCACTGCCCCGATTATCGCGTCATCCACGCGACACTGCGGAGTGGCAAGACCGTTCCTTCCTACTCCCTCGTGGAGAACGGCCTCGTGTACTGGCATGGCAGATTTGGTCAGCTAGAACCACGTATCTGCGTTCCCTCCACCGGACAGCTCTGTGTCCAGGCTATAGCAAAGTTCCATGACTAGGCAACTGCCGGTCATATGGGTTTCCATAAGACGTTGGCTCGTGTTTGTCGCCTATACGTCTGGCCGAAGTCCAAAGACTTTGTCAAAGCCTACATCCAGGAGTGTCCTACCTGCCAGGAGGTGAACAGTGTGAACCACCTTCCGTATGGGTTACTTCAGCCCTTACCCATACCAAAGGGTCGTTGGCAGTCCATCTCGATGGATTTCATTGGTCCCCTCCGCCCACCCACTGAGCGCGGTCATGATGCTATCTTGGTCGTCGTCGATCGCTTCACGAAGCGTGCACGTTTTGTCCCGTGCCGCTATCGCATTAGCGCTCGTGAGGTCGCCGACATCGTCTTTGACCAAGTCGTGAGAAATCACAGCTTACCTCAGAGCATCATCTCCGACCGTGACCCGTGCTTTACCAGCACATTCTGGCGACGCCTACACGAGGTGTACGGATCCCAGCTCCGCTTCTCATCGTCTTACCACCCTCAGACGGATGGTCAGACTGAGGTCACCAATAAAACTCTCGGTAATATCCTCCGAAAGTTTGTTAGGGATGACCAGCAGTGGRACTTAMACTTAGCCCACSSGGAGATTGCGTRCAACCACGCTGTTTCGCCAGCCACGGGGATGTCGCCATTCTATTGCGACCTCAGCTACCACCCTCGCGTACCCGCGGATTTCCTACGACCATCGCGGTTGCGCCCAGACACTCGTTGCCCTACGCTTGACGACTGGATCGCCCACATGGCGGCGATTATGAAGCGCGCACACGAGAGTTTAGCCGACTCCCAGACTCGCATGGCCACAAGAACGAACCGATCACGAATGGATCATCCATTCAAAGTCGGTGACGATGTGCTCGTCGACGCACGCCACTTACAGCTCGAAGCAGATACGGTTCGCAAGTTCAGGCGTCGTTTCTTCAGTCCATCCCGCATCCTTCAGGCCGTCGGTTCTGATACTGCCGCTAGTCCGGTCAGCTTCCGTGTGAAGGTACCTGATTACCTTCGACAGGCTCGTGTACACGATGTTTACCACGTCTCCTTGCTGCATCCTTATCGCAGACCGTCCGAGCGCTTCGCCGGACGCCCTTATGAGCGCCCTCCACCTATCATGGTGGATGGTCACGAGGAGTTCGTTGTTTGTGACATCGTATCACGCCGAGTTATCGACAATACCCCTCCACGCATCGAGTACCTTGTGCGTTGGAAGGGTTGCCCTGATGAGGAGGCTACTTGGGAGCCCCTCGAGCACTTGCGGCACACCAGGATGTTGGTGCGTGCATATGATCGTGCTCGTCGTGCTGAGACATCTGCTTTTACTCAGCCGACTGACCCTCTTCCTCCTCCTCCGGCTGAGGAGATTGCTGAGGACGAGCCCACTCCCTCTGAGGCCGTTCCTCAGCCGCAGACGGTCGCCTCCGAGCGTCCACAGCGCACTCATCGTCGCCCTTCGCGTTACGATGACTGACACTCTTATCCTCCATCTTTCCCCAGTAACTCACACCATCAGGTACTCCATCATCAACTCTTCTTCAGGATGTCAGTGTTTTACGGCTCTGCTTCGACATCGACTCCACTGCTACTTCATCGACGTCATCGACTACTTCGACGACTTCAACTACTTTGGACGTGACTACTTCACGTCACCACCCTACCCTGCATACTCCCTTGTCTTTGTCGCACGATGGTTCTCACTTAGCTGGGTCTCTTTGAGTTTGGCTCTCCCTTGGTATCGCATATGCATTGGGACCGTAGCGTTATCTTGGCTTCCTTGCTCCCAGATCTAGCTCCCTCTCCCAGCCGGTGAGTTGTGTGCATGTTTCCCTCACCCACTGCCTTCATCACCCTAGAGCCAGCTATTGCATGCCTCCAGTTCGGCATAGCTCCACCCTATTCAAGGCTCCCCTTTTCATGGTCGACCCTGCATGGTGTCACCCTTTTGTCGAGCATTACCCGCCTTGATGGTCTATCTGTTAGGGTCATTGGTTTTGTTTCGCTACCACTCTCCCACCTTGAGCCTGATGATCTATCCCACCTTCATATGTGACTCCCCTTAGGAGTTTCGATTCTTAGGCTGCATTCACCCCCTCTGAGACCATCCCACTCTTAGTGGTTCAGCGACATGACATTATCTTGTGACATATTGCCCTTTTCCTTTCAGCACTGAGGCCACTGCCTCCAGGACTTTAGGATTGTATCATACTACATTTCATTTTCTGCTGTTAGCTAGGATATGTATACCAGACATTTGCTTTTCTTTTGACATTATGTAGCTTAGGATGCATCGCATGGACTCCGCATGGAGCTTGCTCCGCATCCTAGATTTCTCAGCTTTCTTTATTGTAGAGTTCCGCTGCTTTTGCGGATAGCGTGTTTATGGCTCTTGCGATCCATTACAGGTCTGAGGATCGTGCAGCGGACCTTCATCTGCCATGGCCTACAGGCAGGGCCTATTTGGCTATTTGCCCAGTTCGGCCTGTGGGACCAAGCCGTGGCCTGACCCCACAGGCCGTGTGCTGTTCTAGTCCTGCCTGGTACCACTGTCGGTACCAGGCCAGTCCAGTCCAGTCAGTCAGTCCGCTGGGGGTATACCACAACACTTGTCTGTTTTTCGTCATTCTTCACTTTTGCAGATCTTGGAGTACGTGCGTGTTGAGTCTGCGTCGGAGTTGCGCCGTCCCTTCCAGCTCCATTTATGTCTCCTCCTTCGTCCACCCTTCGTCTCCATCCTGTCGGACCGCCATCCCGGCGGGTCCGGCACAACGCGGGCTTGAGACCTGGTAGAGAGATCTGGGGAGTTGCCGAGGGTGAAAGGCACTCTAGTGTCTATTTGTGAGCTTGTACTCAGTCGACGCTGGCCGGAGCCAAGGTGAGTCGCTTCGCCCTGTAGGCTAGCAGGTGGGGGATTGTTCTGGGGTGGGTCGTGCCACTCTGTAACCTAGCAGTTGGGGGTGTGAGGCCTGGTAGAGATTGGGTATTGAGATATAGGGGTTGAGGTAGGTTTAGGGTTGGGCTGCTGAAGGCACCAAGGTAGGTTGTTTGAAGGTTGAAAGCTCCTATGGATCAAGGTTTGGGGTTTTTCTCATAGTTTTTTCTGCACTAGTACGTTGTGGAATAGACGCTGCATTCGCTATAGAAAAAGCTGATAGAATCAGAGTTTTCTTCAGTAGGTTTGCAGTCTTCTCAGTTTTATGTGCATAGCTACCATTCCTAGCGGAAGCCGGGTAATGCCCCCGGTATCTCAAATTGTTCTACATATGTTTCTCAATACGTTTTCGAATGGGACTCTGGGCCGGGTTCCCAGCACGTGCTGCTCCTGAGGAATAGATTGGATCATTGTTCCAAAAAAAAAAAGAAAAAAAAAAAGACCGTTTTGAGTTGAGAAAACTACCCTACCCCCCCCCCAGGGTAGATTTCTCAACTTATGTGCCTTTCTTTTTTTTTTGTTTTTTTAGACATCATTACATCCTGAAACGGAGGAACTCTGACAACTGTGTTTGGCTCTCTGGCATCAAACTCATTTCCTTCTTTGGGCAACGAATGCATTTGGCCACCCATGTTGTCCCTGTCCATTTTACAAATGGTGACCTCCTGTCCCCTCACCACGGGGAGTATCCCTTTTCCACGGAGACATTCACTCCGACTGTACCAGACGTGTTTCATTTCTCCGAGTTACGTTATCAAAAATATAGAGAAAAGTTGTTTCTAGCGTTTCTTTCTCGGTTTTTCAATTTTTTGTTTCGGATTTATTACTGTCGAAACAGTGTCACGCCGTTGTGTTTTCTAAACTCAACTTGGGCGGTGGGACTTCACCCCAGAGACAAAAAACGTCCATTATGGGAAGTAGCATATTGCCTGGTTGTCAAAGACGTGGCTCACTGCTAAAGATCCACCGAACATTTGCACACTGACAATCGATTGTCGCACAAGTGCGCACACACCATGTAACCCGTCACAACAGCATGGCAACTTTGCTCGACCACGATCAGCATGTTGAGACTTACCAATTCGCCGATCACCCAAAACCATAGCCAATCAACCCAATCTGGCTATTTGCATAGGGAAAAGAGAGTAAGGGGATCAAGCTTGCGGTAAGGAGGGGGAAGATTGCATGCAATCAAAGCAGGTGCAGCAAAGGAGAAGGGGTAGGACTGTAGGAGAAACAGAGAAGGTTCATGAGCCTTGCATACTCCAAAGCACATTGTGGGGGACACAACCTCTCTCCACACGATGATCCATCATGCACGACCATCAAGCCAATGATGACGAAGGAGAAAAAAATGGGAGGGGGAATTTTAAAAATCAGGGGATGAATGGCACAGGTGGGAAGAAGGAAGCGGGAGAGAGATAGGAGGAGCATGGGGAAGAGAGTTGGACTTTGCGGAGGAGATTAAAAGACATTTGCACTTCAGGGTGTGGCGTACAATTAAAGGAAAAATATTGAGTGCGGTGGGGTGAATTCAAGAAAGTCTGGAAACGAAAAGGGAATGAAAGTTTGTCAGGCAAACCACGGAGAAGAAAAATGGTGTTGCCTTAGTTGTGATGAGCGGGCACACACACACAATTTAAACGAAATTCAAGAAATCCTATGCGCACTCATTGAGGATCAAAAAAGAAAGAAAGCAAAAGAACAAGATGAGTAAATGTCTTACTTATCCTGCCAAAAGATAAAAGGACAAAGCAAAATTGACAAAAGTTTCAAGACATCGAAGGAAGCCTAATGCTGAAGGTGGTTACCATGCACCCACGCAAACAAGAAAGAAATCTGAAGGGGCGTAGAAGATAATGTATTCCAAGAGAAAGTGAGTCAGCGAGTGGAGGGGCGTAGCAGATAGTGCATCTCAAGATAAAGTGAGTCAGGGCACGACCAATATCTGTGCTGGAAAAAACGGCCTTCAACGAACTCGTACTTCAACAAACCTAACAGCTTTGGCGACCCCCAAGTTTGAGCTGGAACTCAACACTTGAGGTAACACTAATACGAGTGTCAACACCGAATCATAGAAGTACTAGAAACCTCTAGTTCAGCTATTCGAGCTTTTGTTGCTGGCCCACTGTGGGGCCTGGTAAAGGACCATGGTGAGATGTGCGTGGGCCTGCTTGTTGCCCACGACTTGCGTTTGCACTTTCCAACATATTGGACATTGGAAGCCTGTGCACTTTGGTGCATGTTGACTGCAAGACACTTGAGGATTCCAATTCAAATTATGTGTGTGTTCAATCCGGTGCGCATTCACTCCCTTGTGGTGTCATGAATGGATTCAAGTCCGAAAAATTATTTATCAGTACTCATGCCAGTAACCACCCTAGAAATTATTTTAGAAAAGCAGTTGATGTTAAGGGTTGAATTGTTTGACTATCATATCCTGGATGGAGCAATGTGCAATGTGTTGTGGTCTAGACTGGTGTTGCTTGACTGAGTAAATACGGATAACGCAGCCATCAAGGGGTGGAGTGGATATCATGTCCGATATGGTTCTAGTTTTATATAATGTGTCATGGATGCACAAGCGGTTAACATGGACCCCTACTTTTCAGCCCCAAGTTTTATGTAGTGTGTCAGGAGCTATGAAGGATGACAAATAGTCCAATAAGGGACCCCATATTTCCAGTATCTACTATGACAGATAAATGTTGCCAATGAGCCTATGACTCCGACTCTCGGTCTTTAATGCCATCCCTCTTGGTTTTGGCTTCAATCTAGTTTAGGTCTTGGCCTGATGGACTTACAGGGATGTCAATGGGACGCCGGACCTGGTTTCCAGCAGGTGATCCTCCCCACCGATAGTTGGAGCAAATTGTGGCAGGTGCTGCTAGAGGGGGTTTCTCATGACGCCCCCAATAGCAAGTTGGTGTTAGAACCCCTGGTTCTAGGGTGTAGTCATGTAACCTGCTTTTGCAGTAGCGTGAGGCCTAGTAGAGAGATTTAGGGACAAATGGGTGAAATTGTGGGTCAGGGATTGTTAACACTATTGAGTAAGAAATGATATAAGTTTATATTCAAAATTATCAGTTCATCATACTCCTTCTATAGTATATAAGGTGATTTCCAAAGTCCTAACTAACCGTTTGAATAAATTTAAACCAACGACTGTAACTCTTTTAGATTTGCAAAGGAGACAACTTAAAAATTGACCGTCATATCTTCAAATGAGACGGTTTGAAGAGTCTCCTTAAAAAAAGAAGTGCGAACAACGTTTATGCTTATAGAGGAGGAAAAAACCTCGTACATCGATGAATGACCTAAAAAAATTGAAAGGTTTTTTATGATTTCATCTTCCCTTCCTCGTGGATTTCAATCAGGTTGTCTGATTGACAGGATAAATGAGTGAAATTGTGGCTCATGGTGTGGTAACACTATTCGAAATTACCGACCCATCACACTCCTTACTGTAGTATACAAGTTGATTTTTAAGGTGTTGATTAACTGTTTGAACAAGTTTATCGCTGACATAGTTCATCTCTCTCAAACCATTTTATTCGTGGAAGAAATCTTTAGGATGATATTTTTCTCATTAATGAACTAATTAAGTTTTTTCGTCAATCCAAACATAA